CCCCCCCCCAGTGCTATGGTGCAAGTGTGATCATGTTTTCCTCACAATCCTCTCTGTTTTTCCCCACAGGTGGATATTCCTAACATATTCAAGCAGAGGAAGCAACTTGCTAAGCTAGTTCTAGACTATGACTCAGCAAAAACCAGGTTTGTTAACTTGAAGACTGAAAGTAATCATTCATAATCCAGACTTAAAGTGCTAACTTTAGTAATGGGCTTTTGTTTTTTACTGTATATAAGTCAATTTAAATTAAAAAAACACATTTACTTTGTAAAACTACCCAAATATTAAACTTATTTTTGTGGACCTCCAGGTATTTTCAGGCTGCAAAATCCAACAACCAGGCCATGGCAGCTAAAGTGGATTCTCTCAAAGATGAGATGGATGAAGCTCACAACAAAGTAGAAATATGCAAGGTGCAGTTTTCATTTTTTATATAACTACTATTTAAAGACTTGATGTAAAAACAGAATTAAAAGACTCGTATTGGATCGTTCCATGCCTGTATAAAATCAAGGTCGTGTGATGAGCGGGCCAAACAAAAGAGGCCTTGTTACAGGAACAGATAATAAACCCGTGTAATTAAAGCTCAGAAAGTTGTCATCTGGACTTCATCTGTATCTTGATTAAGAGCTTCTCGATAACGCAGAGCGCTCAGGTAAACAATGCTTTGGTCTTTAAGGGAGTTTGTTGTGTTGGTCCTGCAGGACCAGCTCTCTGCAGACATGTACAACTTTGCTTCAAAGGAGGGAGATTACGCGCGCTACTACGTCATGGTGAGTGCACAGAATGCACACGTTTAAAGGTGACGTCAGATTAGTGCAACACGCAGAAAGTGATCTTGTGTTTCAGTTACTGGAGGCCCAGGCCGAATACCACAGGAGGTCTCTGGCAGCTCTGGAAGCTGCCATTCCAACCATCCAAATGCAGCAAGGTGAGGAAAATAAAACTCATCCTTTCACAGTGTTTACTGTAGGATGGAGAAACAGATCTGATGTTTAGGTCTGTAGTTAGCAGTCGAATCACATTTGTTCTTAAGTTGTTGGGAGTTGATTCATCTATGGTAAAAACTGCTTCCCAAAGCAGCCAAAACAGTAAGAGAGAAGCTGATTTGTGTCAACGTGGAGTGTTTATCTTCAGTATTATCGCTTCTGTTTAGGGTAAAGAGGAACCWATTTTAACAGATAAAAATTCCTATAATCAGTTACTGCATTGCATTTATTCGGTTTTGTCTGATAGTAAAGTATCTCATGGACCAGTGGATGGATTTTAATGAGACTTACAGAAAGTAATGAATAGATGCACATCTACAGCTGATTAAAGGCCTCCACATGCTCCATCCGAAGCCAAACAGAGGCCTTAACTTCTGAAGCCAACTTGATTCAAGATGGGCGCCACAGCTAATTGATCTTAGCAAAGAGAAAAATGGCTTCAACTCAAATGATTTTACTGTCACGGAGCTAAACTTTGAGCTGAGTGTCACCCAAACACTTAATCTGAGAGCGAACAGATCATGCACTTTTTGAACAACTGGTATGAGGACTTTATTCAAAAATGCTGCTTTCATTGATTTTCATAAAACCTTTCCAGTCTTTATCTGCAAATGGGAGGATCATGTTCCTGTTATGATAATGTATAAAAATATTGGGAAATGTAAAAAAACTTCATGAGAGGTCCTGCAGCTAGAAGTGATTCCTGGGAACTCTTGAAATAATTTGTTTGCATGTATCTTGTCAATAATAAAACTTGACTCTTACAATAAAATAGAATGAAACAAGACATGATACAAAAAAAAGTAAAAGTTGTGCATGTTTGACTAAAAGTCCAAAAATGTTTATGCAAAAGGTCTTTTTTTCCTGCTTGTTCTCTAAAACGTGGAGTTCTTTCTTTGACCCAGATTCCTGGATGGAGATGCCRGCGTTCGGCACGGCACTGGAGGAGCACCTGAAGAAGAGCAACCGTGAGATCGCTCTGCCCATCGAGGCCTGCGTCATGATGCTGCTGGAGACCGGCATGAAGGAGGAGGTAACACGCGATGGCAGAGAAGGCGGGGAGGAACTCCACTTGATGTGGAGCAAAGTTGATGCTTAACGGACCAGAACCTGGATGCACACTTGTACCCATAAAAGCTAAAACGCTGTTTGAGCTGAAAAGAGACGAGTTTAATGTGTTCAGCTCTGTAGAAATGATGGTGTGGAGAGTCTGGAAACATCTGCTGCCAAGTTGTGTGTGTGTGTGTGTGTGTGTGTGTGTGTGTTGGTTCGTGTGCACATCTGTTAACTATTAGCATGTTCACAGTTACTCTAAATGTAGCATCACTGGACATCCTTTAGAGTGGTTTACATCATTTTTATGAAGTGAAACAAAACTGTTTATCTGTCTGGCGCTCGTCCCCCCCACCCCTCCAAAAAAAAAAAAAAAAAAAAAAAAAAAAAAAAACAGCTCTTCTGGTAGTTAACAGTTCCTCTCTTGTTTTTGTTAGTGTTACTCCTTTTCTTGTAGCCTCTTTAATTTGAGCACGTTCACCCAGGAGAACTCATTCTCCTGAACCGTTCCTTTTAAGGGTCTCTTCCGGATCGCAGCTGGAGCCTCCAAGCTTAAAAAGCTCAAAGCGGCGCTGGACTGCTCCACCTCGCAGCTGGAGGAGTTCTACTCAGACCCCCACGCCGTCGCTGGTACGACCTCCAGCACAGATCTGCGAAGCCGTCAGAGCCGCGTCTTTCTCATTGCTTTTTATCTTCGCCTCTCACACAGGAGCCCTGAAGTCTTACCTCCGGGAGCTTCCTGAACCTCTGATGACTTTTAGTCTGTACAACGAGTGGATTCAGGCCTCCAAGTAAGACAAACACTCAGATATGACTTTTAATATCCAGCAAATGCAATCGCAGCTTATTTAACACACACACCTGTTTTTTTGTGTGTTTTCAGCGTGTCGGACCCCGACAAGAGGCTGCAGGCTTTATGGGTGGCGTGTGACCACCTGCCAAAGGCTAGCAAAGCCAACGTCAGGTATGAGCAGCTTCAAATCTGCTTTTTTGTTTTGTAACTAAGAAAAAAAATACAGCGGGTAAAATAAGTATTGAACACGTCACCATTTTTCTCAGTAAATATATTACTAGAGGTGCTAATGACATGAAATTTTCACCAGATGT